TCTGCAAATTTGCGACAAAATCCCAGCCTTGAATATCTTCTACTTCCTGTGAATCACCAAGCACTCCAACTCTTCAAGCAATTTCCTTCCCGGATCTTCAAACAGATGATCTTCTGGAAGTTGATATGGAGATATGAAGGGGTGTTTTTTGTTTTGTGATGGTTGATGTTTTTATTCAAAAATCATGATAATCAAAAGATGAGAAAGATCGAATGTTTGGTTCTAAATCCTTTGGAAGTTAAAAGAAGCTCTTGTTTGAATGTTTTCCAAAAGTATTTAATGAAAGTCGGACGTTTTGTTTATATAGTAGGTCAAATTTGGAAATATGGAGCGTTAAAAATTCGCGAGGCATTAAAATTACCAATGGCCAGATAACATCGTCGCTCGAGCGAGGTGCTGGCTAAACTCGAGCGATGTACCTTCGCTCGAACGACTGCCCAGCGAAACTCCAGCGAGATCAGTTCTGCAATTTTGGCTCGAGCAAGGTCAGGGCAAAACTCTAGCGTTTGCATCTTCAAAGCATCCCCCTTTACCCTAGACCTATGCTATGAAATTTATTAAATTGCAACTCTAGTCCCTGAACTATTAGACCTTTCCAATTTAGTCCCTGACTTTACAAACATGACAAATAGGTCCTTTGGTCACAGATTGCCAATTACACATTTTCCTAACATAAACAAATTTCATTGATCTTCAGCGTTGGTTATACAACCTGCGTTACTTGTGCACATAGAGGCCCTTCTTTTGTTCATTTATCGAACCAGAAAAAGCAAGAACCATCACTTATCTTCCATTGACCGCGTTCAATAACCTTAGACAAACAATTTCTCACTTATCTCCAGAAACTCGTCCCAATATAGCTTAAATTAGCTCTATCCAAAACCCTTGTTTAGAGTACTTTGCTCTAAAAAACCTTGCCCACAATGAATCTGCAGATAAAAAACGTCAAGCAAACTTCATGTGTAAAGCCCGTTGAACATCTTCAAATTTACGTACTCCAATCCCCCCTCCAGTACAGGTCGACTCATTTTGTCCCACGAACACCATTTTTTCCCGGTCTTTCCATTAATTTCACCCCAAAAAAGGATGAAAGAATGGAATTTAAATTCCCACACCAGATTTAGAAATACGTAACACCGATAGTAAGTATATAGCCATGCTAGAAAAGACGTGACGAAGGAGCACTAACCTGCCCACTTGTGATAGTAAAACCATCTTCCATCCAGCAATTTTTTTCTGAATTTTACCAGTCAGAGACTCTAAATGTCGAGCACTTAACATTCCTTGAACAATTGGCACCCCCAAGTTCAACATAGGAAATTGGCACTCTTTGAAACCTGTCTCCCGTATGATGAAGTTTTTTTGTTCAAAAGAACTAGATTTTGAGAAAAAAATGGCCGACTTTTTTTTGTTGATAAGCTGCCCAGACCAGCCTTCATACATATTCAACACCTCCATTAAACCTTTCGTCAACTATTTATTCCCATTAGCAAATATAACAAGATCATCTATATGCATAAGGTGAGAAACCAAAGGAGCACCCCGAGGATGAGAAAATCCCTCAATTCGTCCAGTATCAAGGTTTTTTTCAGCAATCTAGCCAAAACCTCCTACATAATAATGAAAAGATAAGGAGAGAGTGGGTCGCCCTGCCTTAGACCACGTGTAGACTTGAAAAAGCCTTGTGTGGTGCCATTCATCATAATTGAAAACCAGGGCTTTGTTATGCACTGATCAACCAACTGATAAAATTTTTTCGGAAAGCCAAAAGTCTGTAAAACATGTCTCAAGAAACGCCGATCCATCCTATCGTAAGCCTTCACCATATCCACCTTGAGCATTACATTTCCCCCTCCCACCTTTTTATTCATAGACTGTACTAACTCTTGTGTAAGAGCGATATTTTCAAAAATGCTTCTCCCAGCAATGAAAGCCCCTTGCTCAGCTGAAATTATTCTTGAAAATAAGGCAACCATTCACGACACCAAGATTTTTGAAAAAATCTTGTAGACTACAGAACACAAACTTATAGGTCTGAATTTATAAAAACCAGTTGATTTTTCCACTTTCGAGATGAGAACAATGTAAGAAGCTGTGTAAAATCGAGAAAGCTTTCCTCCTCCAAAAAAATCTTGCGCAGATTCAATCACTTCCTTTTTTACAACATCCTAGCACTTAATAAAAAAGCTTGATCCAAACCCATCTGGCCCAGGGGAGCTATCCATGGGAATCACAAAAGCAGCTTCTTTTATTTCCACCTAAGTCGGCATAGCACAAAGGTACTGACCCTTTACCTCGGTCACGGTATTATCTATCAAATTAGATAAATTCGGTACTACCCCCACGTATTCTTCAATGAGAGAATTCTCAAAATACCTTACTGCTTCCTTATGTATTTGTTGGGGAGAAGATTATCGTGTCCCATTCTCTAGTAACATTTGATCAAGCATCCTGTTTTTGTGGTGTTGAGCAATTGCGGCATGAAAAAACTTTGTGTTGTTATCCCCCTCCCTAAGCCAGCGCTTCTTAACTACTTGAGCAAGTCTAATTTCTTCTCGCTTCTGCCATTTCGCTAGCTCAACGTTGGACTCTAAAAAATCCTGTTCCACCTCATTGGAGTATCTTTCTTGTAATGACTCTTCTAGTATCTCCACTTTCTCCTGAAGCTCTGTTATACTGTGATCAACCCTGTCAAAAACCTGTTTGTTCCATATTTTGAGAATCACTTTAGTTCTTTTCAACTTTGCAGCCAACTTCTGTAGGCCTCCCAACTTCACATCTTGGTACAGTCACTCCAAGCTTCCTTAACACACAACATGAAGGATTCATGTTCACACCACATACGCTGGAAGCAAAAAGGTGGGGGACCATATAAGACACTGGGCTGCTTAAGATGTATCATCATTGGACAGTGACCAGATGTCTCCTTAGCCAGCAATTTCAATCCCATATTTGGATACAAACTAGTTGCCATTGAATTAGTAAGAGTCGGGTCCAGTCGAGCCCAGCACCTTGCTGTTCCATTTTGTTCATTACACCAGGAAAACTTCCTCCCCAGAATTTAATTCCATTAACCCACATCTATCAATACAGTTATTAAAGTCATCCATCGCTGCCATAGGTCGTGGTTACCCATCCCTACCCTCCAAATCATTTTTAATGATATTAAAGTCACCAGTGACAAGCCAAGGTACACCACTAACCATAATACTCTCCAGTTCCAGCCATAGTGACCTCCTTTCTAAAGCATTACATTTAGCATAAATGAAAGAAATCATCATCGTACCTGATCCCTTTGTAAAGATGCCATGCATAGCCTGATTCGATGCTCCAATCCAATCTACTGTGAACTCTTCCCTCCAAAAAACCCAAATCTTTCCCTCCTCTTGCTCATTGGACATACAGTTTGTAAACTGTAATTTTCTGGCCAACAACCTCATCTTATTCTCCCTTTGAAAAGGCTCTAAAACTGCCAAAATAGCCACATTATGTTTTCTCACCAAACTACTAATCCTTCGCCTTGATGTTCCCACCCCCGCACGTTCCAGATCAACACTTCATCCATCATAAATCCAACCTTGAAGGGCGTGCTCGCACCCTGTGTGATAACATTACCGAATGACCTTATTTTTCCTTCCTACTATTTTTTCCAGTCCTATGTCAGAATTACAATCACCATATCCATTCTCATTCATCTCCCCATCAGCCCCACCATCTGTTACATTTCCAGCCATATATTCATGTTCTACAGGATCGTTCACATCAACCGTTATCATACCGCCTTCCATTTCCACTGTACCTGAAGTAGGGTCACTTATGATTGTATTTATATTCTCAACAAAAACTTCCTGATATGAGTTGGACTGTTCTCTTATTCCATCACTCACGAGTCCTACTTCACCTTCTTCTAACATCTCAACGTGATTGTCTATTGAGTTTTCCTTAGCAACCAAATCATTCCCATTCCCCAAATTAAGCACAGAAGTATCTTGACTTTGAGCTACATTGTGTGATTGTTGATGAACTACTTCGTCAACACCAACTGTTAAATCCTTTATCACGAAACCATTCTCGATTTGTTTCTGACTCTGATCAATCAAAAGATGGCAGTCTTGATTCTCCTTCGAATCCACAAGGCTTAATATCTCTTTACCTGCATTAACCTTCTTAGTTCCATTCGACGCTATATCATCAGTCTGCTCATTACTGGACCATCGATCTGCTTCATCCCACTTGGCCCTGCAATTTCAATCTGTTCTGTCTCCAAGCTGCCACCCTTTTGTATTTTTCGCCATTCCTGTCTCTCCTTCACAGCCGGTTCATCTTTCTTAATTTTCCCAGTAAGTGTCTGCACATTTTGGCCTACTCCGCAGACTGCTTCAGGATACCCCTGCCTTCCACACGTCTTACAGTAATAACCCGTCTTCTCATACCTTACCTCCTGCGATATGGTCTTCATGGGTGATACCGCTATTGGGAATCCCTTAACAACCTTATCTAGCAAGTCTACCTCCACACACATTCTAGCACCCATTGCCCTTGTACGCTTCAAAGTGGCATGATCTGTACCCAAATATCTTCCAAATAGAATTGCAAATATCCGAAGACAATCAGGTCTATATAAATGCATCGGCAGTCCAGGGAGGAAAATCCATTGCGTCACAATAGAAGGCTCTCTTTTCAGATCAAAATCAGGAGTCCATTTAAAGACGCGAAACTTAGCTCCCAGCAAGGACCTTCCCTCTCGAGCCCAAACATGAACTAAATCAGATTCATTCTTCAATTGAAGAAGCACATGAAACTCATCCATATAACTGATTGTTGGATTCTCCTTCAGCCCCCATGTGAATTCTGATGATTTAGGCCAATGACATTACCAAACTTTAGGTCCATTGGTTGGTAACAATGCTACTCTTGCAAAATCTGAGGAAAATATGTCAACAACAAGAACATCTACTAATTTATTTCAAAAACTTATTAGTAATCTGTATAAATTTCAGGGTGATCCGACCTACCTTGTTGTGGAGAGTGACAGAACACTGGCAACATATGGCATCAATGCTGTATGCACTCACCTCGGCTGTGTGGTTCCATGGAATGCTGCTGAGAACAAGTTCATTTGCCCCTGCCACGGATCGCAATACAACAATCAAGGAAGGGTTGTTAGAGGACCGGCTCCGTTGGTAAGTGCAACAAATTAATGCAATTATTTATCACATTCTGAGATAAACTTTAGAACATTTCTGCTAATTTCTTGCTATCTTTTTTTGTTGATATTTTACTTTGCCAAATTTACTGGAACAGTCGTTGGCCTTGGCTCATGCTGATGTCGATGTCGATACTGGGAAGGTAGTGTTCGTTCCATGGGTTGAAACAGATTTCAGAACTGGTGAAGCTCCATGGTGGGCTTAATTACATTGATTTTACTTTGCTTGTGATTTGTATGAAAACCTTGATTTAGTACTATAGCATTTGCTATCCAGTTATATTTTGGCATGCTTGTTAGTTGTATATCCTTGTGAAACATGATATATTACATTTTGTTCAATTTTACATAATTAATATAGTACACAATATCGGAGAAAAGAAGAACTGTAATTTATTTATTCCTCAATTTATTAAACCTCAGAATTTTTCATTTATAATATTATGATATTTTTTTATTTTAATTTATAATAGAACGTAAGTTAGGTTTAAGTACATCTATTAATGCAACGGTGGGTTGCTTAAAAAATTGTGCGACCTAAAAAAAAAATAGACTGTATTTAAAAGAATTCATCTTCAATTCAAGCAGTGGCCGTAAAAGAGAGAGGAAAAAAAAGAAAGAAAAAAGAAATAGAAGCAATGTCTAAAGGGACATCTATGTTGATTTACCTAGCAAAATTTTAACTCTTTCTCGCTCGCTCTCTCGTGTTAAGTTATATTTCTTTTCACCCCCCAGGGCACATTCAAGTTGGCGAAACAATCACATTGGGGGGTTCTGGAACCAAGCGTGGGGAGTTCGATTTTTGGTGGGAACCTTTGATCCAATAAAGGAGGAATTATTGGTGGATTAATCACCATGGAGGAGGCTTCCTTTGGAGAAGGATTAAAAGCCATGTGGAAACCTGGTAACCAATAAGGACACATCCTGCGATTTCCTCCCTGAGCAGCTGAGGGGGGTTCAAATATATATGCGACCAACATACTTAATCTTGGGAGTTGTCCGTTCTTGAAATTCGAAGGCATCTTATACTTATATAGGGATATATGAGGAGATATAATTCAAAAAAAATAAAAAATTAATTTACCATAGCAAAGATTGAATCATTGGGTTTAACTTATTCAAGTTAGGTCTCACAAGAAACTACTTAGACAAAATATGTACACTTAACAAGACTTCTCTTTTTTCACAATAACACGTACAATCCATAGAAAATTATTTATCGTGCTTTTGAGATTGTGTTTTAAAAATGTGAGGGTCGTGATTGTGATTTCGAAGTTACTCGTTAGCAAGTCATTTGATTTTAAGATCGACGTCAACGATAAATGTTAAATTAACTACTAGCGAATGTTGTAAAAGACCACATTTCCATTTAAATTTAAACTAAATACAAAATCATTGCATCAAATGATAATTCAATAATTCCCGATCTTAGTTCGCTAAAAAAAAAAAATGATCCGCAATGCATTTTTCCTCGAATTATAACTTCTTAAAGTTTGGAAACGTAATATTCTTAAAGTGTTAAAGAGCATCCTGAAAACGATTACACAATTTGAAGATTCTCCCAAGTCATTTGAACTGTCGGATTCCCCGTGACTTCTTACAATTGTAAGAGGATAAATGAAGATGGCGACAAACATTCAACCGTGATTCTCTCCCTAAAACATTATTTTTAAACGCTAAATATTTGTTTCCCTATGAATTGTTTTAGATCTAATCGATATTTTCCATGTTTGGGTTCAAATATATATGCGACCAACATACTTAATCTTGGGAGTTGTCCGTTCTTGAAATTCGAAGGCATCTTATACTTATATAGGGATATATGAGGAGATATAATTCAAAAAAAATAAAAAATTAATTTACCATAGCAAAGATTGAATCATTGGGTTTAACTTATTCAAGTTAGGTCTCACAAGAAACTACTTAGACAAAATATGTACACTTAACAAGACTTCTCTTTTTTCATCAATAAGAACAAACAAAAGTTACCCAACGATATGATTTCAAGTGAATTCATTCTATGGATATAATGAAAATAATATTAATTAGGATGTTGCAAGATTGTCTATAAACTTAGTAGAAACGATGATTTCATCTATAAATTAAAGTAAATATATTCATAAAAAATGTAAAAGAATTATTGCCATCGTAGTGACAATAATAGATAGACTTCCTCGGACCGCTAGTAAATAGAAAATAGAGTCTGAACGTGACATGAAATTTTGAAATTTACAGCGTGTGAAAGGACAAAAATGACCCTGATTCCACCTTTTGTCATTTGTCAACTAGCTTCACGTGATTCCCCGACATATCACAATCACATACACAAAAAAGCAGGTGGCAACATGTAACTTAAAAGAACAAAATAACCCAGCCAAACCCACGACCCTACACAAAAAGAGATCCAAGAATGATGAAGGGCAAAAGTGTAATCAAAGTCCTAGCAACTCCAAATCTTGATGAAGACGAATAGTATTTCTCGAACTGTAACGAGTCGACGGCCAACGGCATGTTCTCCTGGTCGGGGCTGCACTTAATCTTGGGAGTTGTCCGTTCTTGAAATTCGAAGGCATCTTATACTTATATAGGGATATATGAGGAGATATAATTCAAAAAAATAAAAAAATTTATTTACCATAGCAAAGATTGAATCATTGGGTTTAACTTATTCAAGTTAGGTCTCACAAGAAACTACTTAGACAAAATAAGTTAATGAGCAATTTTTCCTAAAACTTAACAAGACTTCTCTTTTTTCGTCAATAAGAACAAACAAAAGTTACCCAACGATATGATTTCAAGTGAATTCATTCTATGGATATAATGAAAATAATATTAATTAGGATGTTGCAAGATTGTCTATAAACTTAGTAGAAACGATGATTTCATCTATAAATTAAAGTAAATATATTCATAAAAAAAGTAAAAGAATTATTGCCATCGTAGTGACAATAATAGATAGATATCCTCGGACCGCTAGTAAATAGAAAATAGAGTCTGAACGTGACATGAAATTTTGAAATTTACAGCGTGTGAAAGGACAAAAATGACCCTGATTACACCTTTTGTCATTTGTCAACTAGCTTCACGTGATTCCCCGACACATCACAATCACATACACAAAAAAGCAGGTGGCAACATGTAACTTAAAAGAACGAAATAACCCAGCCAAACCCACGACCCTACACAAAAAGAGATCCAAGAATGATGAAGGGCAAAAGTGTAATCAAAGTCCTAGCAACTTCAAATCTTGATGAAGACGAATAGTATTTCTCGAACTGTAACGAGTCGACGGCCAACGGCATGTTCTCCTGGTCGGGGCTGCACATGGACTCGTGGGGAGGGTGCGCACTGTACATGATGGCTCGCAACACGGCCGAGACAGTAGGTATGTACGCGGTCTTGTTACGTGCCAGCAGCCACGTTAGTCCCATCAATTGGCAGTCTCGACTCAACATTTTGCTAGCGCGGTCACTGCTTTCGCGGCCTAGTTCTTTTGTTCGATTTTTGCCATCACTAGTCAACTGCAAAAATAATCACAACCAAAGGGCAATTCAGACATTTCCATATTCAATTTCTCAAGCTAAGGTGCCAAAAAAAAAAAAAAAAAAAAATTTTTTTTTGG